GCGGTACCTACTGGAGTCAGGCAAGGATCTGGGGAGGCTGCCTGCCTCGTTTCCCATTATAACACCGACTCAGGCCAGCAGCAAACCCCAGGGAACCTCCCCGACATGCCTGAGCCCCGGAGCCATGGATGTGTAATGTGTGACTCCCTCTCAGGGCAAATGCAGGCCTTTATTCATGGCATTGACTTTTGGCCTGTAAGGATTCCAAATGTCATAGTATCATCATGCAATGACAGTAGAATTCAAGTCACTAAAACGACATAATTAATTAAGTCAATTACAATGACATTCAAAATTACTGATGCAAGCTTAACTGCATCATGTATCTTGGCAGGCGGGTACCCAAAGAGTGAGGCTGGAGGCTCTTTTTGTTTTTGTTTCATTTTTCTTCTTCTTTTTTTTTTTTTATAATTTGTCAACAGCCACATGTGCTCACCAGAGGTAGACAGAAACAGAAAGTGTCACCCGGCCTGTTTTTCAAGCCTCCAGGTCTGGGACTTGAACTGCACACTTGGCCATGGGGGATCCAGCCACCTTGGCCATCACACCACCCAGCTACCTGAGGCTGGCAGCTCATAAGAGTCAAATATAAGAAGAAATATAACCCAAGAGAGACTTAACCGGGAGGGAGATTTGAAATGCATTTCAAGGAAGGGCCAACCAGGTAACATGTTGCAGCTGGATCCCACAAAGCCAACTGCATGGTTTGAGTGCTAGACCTGGCAACTTGAGAATCATGCCAGTTCAAGGAAAGGCCAACCAGGTAACATGTGGCTTACTGCAGCTGGATCCCACAAAGCCAACTGCATGGTTTGAGTGCTAGACCTGGCAACTTGAGAATCATGCCAGCTGCATGTGCATGTGTGCCCAGAAATTCCAAGAGTAGAAATGGAGGAGAGGAGACTGCAATGAGCCCATCCCCCTAGGAGGGTGGAGGGGTATATCTCTCTCGCTCACTGATGAGTACATGTGCTCTAGAACAAAAACTCTTTTTAAAGTATGTTTCACTAAGACCAGAAGATGGAGGACCAGCAGTTGGTATAGTGGCTATGTCTCTGAACTCCCATGTAGTGGACCGCAGTTCAAGTCTCAGACCCAGTGGCTTAAATTCACACCGGGTCCCAAGATCCTGAGGGGAGAATGGAGGAGAGGGGATTGTGGCATGGCCATCCCCCCTGGGGGGGTAATTTCTTGCTTTCTGTCTCTCTGTCTTGCTCTGTCTTTTTGGGAAGCACACATACCCTATAGCAAAAACCTCTCCCCCCCAAAAAAAAATAAAAAAAGAAAAAGAGTAGAAGACAGAATTTTTTTAAAAAGAATTATTTATTTCATTTTACTTATTTATTTATTTTTAATTTGACCAGAGATAGAGGGAAAGTGAGAAAGCAAGCTGCTGAGTCTGGGACTTGAACCACAGTCAGCCAAGTGGGAGTCCAGCACCTTAACCACCATACCACCTGCCAGCTCAAAGAAGGAATGTTTGTGGTGCAAAAAATAAACATTATTATTTTCCCTGTTTAACTAATCGACTCCCTCTCTGCTCCCTCAAGTTCACTATCTGGACTTTGTCATTCAAAGACACCTTAAAATCACAGCCGTACTCCTGAGGCCCCGTCTGCCGGTGACCCTTGCCTAAACTTTGACACAGCACTGATGTCAGCTGTCACCAGCTGTGGTACAGAGACATGACGCTCTGCAGAGAGGAGATTGCACCAGCCAAGCACACAAGTACTTGGGTGTTTCATCACCCTCTGCCAGTCGATCTGGCATTGTGACATTGCTTCTCTAATGACTCAAAACACCAGGACGTCACCCTCTGTCAGTCGGTCTGGCATTGTGACACTGCTTCTCTAATGACTCAAAACACCACTACGTACCTGCAGGGCACACACCCCGTACATCCTGGCTTCTCAAGAAAGGAGCCAGGATAGAGCAGGGGGTGGATACTGCGAGCAGCCGTGAAATGACGGGAGATGCGAGCAGCATACTCCGGAGCCTAAACTGGGCCTCACGTGTCCTTTGTTATGCACCTACTTCAGTGTGCATCCCAAGGGCTTGTTTTTATTTATTTATTTTTTAAAAAGAGATGTTTGCTGTAGGGCATATGCGCTCACCAGAGATACAGAGACAGGAAGCAGGAAATCAGCCCCCGGAAGGATGGCCACGCAGCAGTCCTTTCTCCTCCGTTCTCCTCTAGGGATTTTGGGCATGTACGTGCACATGCTCAGAATGAGTTTTTAAGCTGCCAGGTCTGGGACTCAAACCAAGGTCAATTACACAGGAGTCCAGAGACATAACCATTACACCATCGGCTGGTCCCCACAGTGGCTTATTGAATGCCCCAAAAGGACCTTGTCTTAATCATTTTTGGATCCCATGTCAACCTTACATGTCTCGGACACTCGGGAACTGTCAGAGCTAATTTTCAATTTCACAGGCTAAAAGGATGGGCAGCCGTTCTGAATGAAACATGACAAATTGTGCAGGCATCAGCCTTAATCTAAACTCTGATGATGTATATTCTCCTTCTGTTCACATCTACTCTTTCCTGAATGGTCCATAGGAAAAATAAAGACCAAAAGCAGAAAAGGCAAATGGATGGCAAAAAGCATTATCGTTATCTCATCTAGGCCTCACTTCATCTAGGCTAAAGAAAACCTGGACCCATGATTTTTAACCCACTTATCCTATCAAATCGAAACACCCTGTGCCCTTTTAAATTTATGATCCATCACATACACCATAACTACCCCAATATACAGGACACACAGAATTTCACCCAAGATTAGTAACAACCAGAGTCTCACAAAGTGCTGAGTAGTTAGAAAAGTCACAATGCAATTTTGCATAAAAAAACATAGAAAAAAATACATCATGACTTTCCCAATAACCCAGCACATCAGAAAACCAGAAACAAAAATTTTTCTCTTAAGTCAGAAATATATTCTTTTGGTCCTCTTTTTCTTTCTTTCTTTCTTTCTTTCTTTCTTTCTTTCTTTCTTTTTTTTTTTAGTTGCTATAAGGCACTTGGATTCACTGGAAAGAGACAGAGAGAGATAAAAAGAGAGAAAGTGAGAAATCAACCCCAGGGAGATGGCCACACTGCAATCCCTTTTCCTCCACTTTCTTCTTAGCATTTTTGGGCATGCACACACATGTCTGGCATGTTTTCCAAGCTACTGAGTCCAGAACTTGAACCAAGCAGGCAGTCATGTGGAATCCAGCCACCTTAACCACTATGCCACTGGCTGGCCCATAAAGATACACATTGTATCCAGAAAAATTTTAAAAATGAGTACATCTGCTATATCGGAAGGAAGGTGTCTGGCAATAAAAAGATTCTTTTTAAGAATCATTTAATTTTTTTTATGATTATTATTACTTTTTAATTTGGTGTAGGGCATGTGCGGTCACCAGAGAAAAACAGAGAGAGAGGGAAGGTGAGCAAGCAAGCCACCAGGTCCAGGACTGAAACCATGGTCAGCCATGTGGGAGTCTAGCACCTTAACCACGATGCCACTCGCAGGCCCCAACAATTCTAAAAATTCTAACCCCAGGTGAAAAGGTTTATTTAGACAAGGACAAAGCACACCAACAGGGGTGGGCACTATTCAGTATGGTATTGGTTAGCCCATTTCTACAGAGACTAACAGGTGTCATATGGGAAAAAGGATATGACCAAACAAGTTTAGAAAATACTCCATTAAGTAAAATTAAGAGTGTTTCTTTATTGCAGGACTTTTCTGAGCCTTTATTATCATGCAATAGTACTCTCCAAAAAGAAGGTGTCAGATGTAATGACTCTCACGCTTATTTCACTGGGGAATTTTTCTCTCTTTCTTTCTTAGTTTTTGCTATACGGTGCGTACACTCACCAGAGAGAAAAAGTGAGACATCACCCCACTAGGAGGGATGGCTACACCCCAAACTCTTCTCCTTCATTCTCCTCTTGGGATTTTGGGCATGCACACCCACGCCCCCACCATGATTTTTTTTTTTTTTTGGAGAGGTTTTTTCTATAGGGCGCGTGCGCTCGCCAGACAGACAGAGAGAGACATAGAGACAGAAAGCGAGAAATCACCCCCCAGGGGGGATGGTCACGCCGCAATCCCTTCTCCTCCATTCTCCTCTCAGGATCTTGGGCACACACGCACACGCGCCCGGCGTGAGTTGTAAGCCACCGGGTCCAGGACGTGAACCACAGTTGACTATGTGGGAGTCCAGCGACATAGCCATTACGCTAATTGCTGGTTCCCCCACCATGATTTTTCAAGCCTCCAGGTCCAGTACTTGAACCACACAGTTGGCTACGTGAGGTCCAGAGCCTAACCTCCACGCCACCTACTGGCTCCATGTGGGAAGAGAATTATTTTTTACTTTATGCATTACTAATTAGCCTTCAAAGAGGGACATACTTTGAGAACCATAAATTAAGAAATTGGAATAAGAAATAAGGTGTTGGGGCCAGCAGGTGGCGTGGTGGTTAAAGGCACTGGATTCTCACATGGCTTACCGCGTTTTGAGTTCCAGACCTGGTAGCTTGCTTTCTCACTTTCTTTCTCTCTCACTCTGTACCTCTCTGGTCAAATTGAAATAAACAAATAAATAAATAAAGTTAAATAAAATAATAATAATAAAAAGAAATAAGGTGTTAGTAAAACCTCAACAATAGGTTTTAACTCCCAGGTAGTCAGGTCAGTCTTTTTTTCCTACTGCTAACTATGTCTTTAAAACCATGGGGGCAGCCATCGCTAGGAGCACAGCCTTAGAAAGAAAAAACATACCTGTCAGAACACACGGATGAACTAACACACGTTACCACTCTCAGAGTAAAAACTCAATCAAAACTCAGGCAGCTGCTATTTTGCACTAAGGACAAAACTACAAACGACCGGAAGCCCGCAGGAGGCACTGCTGTGCATACTGCAAGTTCCAGTTAGGTCGATGTTAGCCTACCCAATCCGAATATCTCAGCAAGTGAAATGAAAAGAAAGACTTACCCACAGAGGCTGAGTTTTTAAGAACTGATTCCTTTGGGACTCCTTTTTCAATTCGTAATGTTGCCCACTGTTCAAAAACAAGAATACTCATTTAAGCGGTCTCACAGACACAATGTAAAATGCTTATACATGCTTTTATAAAAGTAAAATTAAACATTAAGGCTTGGAGCTATTTGAATTAAAGCGATACCCCACAGACACTCCATTGCAGCAGGTATTCCCAAGCACACTCTTCCAGTAGTTCCTGATCGTGCCCTAATGAAATGAGGGAAGGATGATGTTTTCCCTCACTAAAACCTCCTTACACACAGCTGTGCCCTAATAGGTGCCTCCCTGAGAAGGCTGTGGAGCATCACAGAGAAGAGTACAGGTTATGGCACCAAGACGGTTTGGATTTAGGGCCAGACCCCCAGCCTAAAGGTTAAGTGCTGTGCAGAGGGAACCAGATGCCCATGGCTAACCCAGGTTGGAGTCCCAGCCCCAGCAGCTTGAAAAAGAGACAGGTGGCACCTGCAGGCATATCCAAGATCCTAATAAGATGAAAAATTGAAGGAAAAAGGGTCATGCCTAACAGAGTAGCTGGGTGTGAGCCAGCCAAATTCTACATGACCAACTGCAAGGTTCAAGTCCTGGACCAGCAGCTTGAAAAACATGCATGCATGCCCAAGATCCCAAGAAGAGAATGGGGGGAAAAAAGGGTTGCCGTGTAGCCATTCTCCCTGGAGGGTAATTACTCACTTTCCCCCTCTCTCTGTCTCTCTCCTGTGATCACACATGCTCTATGGCAAATTTTTTTTAAAAGTCTGAGTTTCAGGCCAGGAGGTGGCGTGATGGCTAAGGCACTGGACTCCCACATGGTCAACTGCAGTCTGAGTCCTGAACCTGGCAGTTTGAAAACTACACCAGGAGCACGTGCATACATGCCCAAAATCTCGAGAGTAGAATGAAGGGATTGCAGCATGATCATCCCCCTGGGGGATAATCTCTCACTTTCCCTATCTTTGTTCCTATCTCTGTCTCTCTTCTCTCTCTGGTGAGTGCATGTGCTTATGGTAACACCCCCTCCCCCCAAAAAAGCCCTTTAATACATATATTATAATTGGACATAAGCACCTTTGAGGGGACCAAAAAACTGATTTATTGATATACCAAGGCAAAAAATGTCAGTTACTGGTAGGCTAAGAAGGGCCTGTGAAACAGAGGTTAAAGCATTTTTTTCAAATAAATAAGATGATAACTGATGGAGAAAAACGTAGTCTAAAACTTACAAAGGTCCAGGATTAAGGCATAACCTGACTAGGTCAGGACCCCTGCACAACAACTCGGTCAGGCAAGAACATGCCATTCACTCTCAGGGAACAGCCTATAAATAGAGGCCTAATCTCCCAGTCTCTAGTGGCCACTAACTAACAAGAACACTCAGTATTAATCTGCTTGCATCCTTTTATTTAGTAATTAACAAGAATACTCAGTATTAATCTGCTTGCATCCTTTTATTTGCTTGCTGATTCAGTGTGGGAGTTCTCGAACTCTGGATTTATACCTCCCATCTTTTCTTAAGTGAGTTCCAGGTTCATCTCCATAATTTTCCCCTTGAAGCTATAGGGTACCTATAATCATGTGTAAGTAAACCAAAGATAGGATTAAAACAAAATTTAGGGACTTTAGGGGCTGGATGGGAGCACAGTGGTAGAGTGCTACACCACACAGCAGATCCATGTGAGAAAGTTCTGAGTTCACGTCCAGAGACCACCCTGAGTATTCCGTGCACAATCCCAGGCAAGCTGAGGCTGGGGGTGGATCATGGCATCAAGATCCTGCTGGGGATGCTGATTCTATCTGTCTGTCTCTTTCTGTCTCATTCATAGAAGAAATAGATAAACATTAAATACAATATACCATTTTGTAAGCAATTAACTATCAGGAGCTGAACAGTAGAGCAGGGGTGATGCAGTATTCTGCAAAGCCGTCACATGTGGGAAAGCCCTAGATTCACATCCAGAGACCTCCCAGAACACACCAGGCACACGTATGCCCATGACCCAGGGCTAGCTGAGGTTGGGGATGGATTGTAGCATGAAGGCCCTGCTGGGGTGTCTCTCTCTTTCTTTCTCTCTCTCATGGAAAAAAGAAAAAAAGATTTAAAAAAAAAATCATTGTTAGTCTCAGAATTCATTCTTTTTATTGTGGGTGTATGATTTTATATTTTACACAAATGGTTGTTACCTTAGACTGGAACAATGACTCCATGTTCATTTTACTGGAAAATATCGGTATCTTAGGGCTGCTATGAACTGAATTATGCATCCCCCAAGTCATTATGTTGATGCTTAAATCTCTCATTGCTTACAAGGTGATTGCATTTGAATATAAGGTCTTTAAAGAGGTGATGTAAAAATGAAGCTGTAAGGGTAGCCCTAATCTAATCTGACTGGTGTTCTTACAAGAAGAGGAGATTTGGACAGGCAAAGACACCAGAGATGTGCACACATAGCAAGGGGCATGCAAGGACACCCTGAGAAGGCCGTTACTTGCAAGCCAAGGAAAGGCATCATAAAACCAACCCGACCAAACACCTTGACCTTAAACGTTCGGCCTCCAGAACCATAAGAAAATGAATTTCTGTGGTTTAAGTCACCCAGGCTGTAGTGTTTGCTATGGCAGCCTTAGCAAATGAACACAATGACATTCCTCAAACAGCGTGGTGAATGAAAAGAGCTCCAACTTCTGTGACCAGACAAGTTGCAGAATGTGTGACCAAAGGCCTACCTACAAAACACAGTCAGTGTTCAAGACAAGCAAATTATAAGGTTGGAGAAGCAGCCATTTAATACCAAAGGGAATTTGCACTGGAAAACCATCTTCTTTAGGCTAACTCTCCAGTGAAAGGGAAAAACAATGCACTTGGCTGCCAGACAGACGTACAATGGAATTGCAGTTCTGCTACTACCTGGCTGTAATCATCTCTGACAACAGACTAACCTCTTGGGCCATCCATTTCATCACCTCTAAAAGAGAGACAATGCCAAGGGTGGATATGAAGGATCTGACTGCCTGGTGCTCACCACACAACCAGCCACAGAGTAATAGAAGAATGATGGCTTCCTCTTCCTTTCTCACAGCTTGCACTTTACTTGGGTACCAAAAGACCATCAGTGAGTGTCCCAATAAATAGCTATTTCTGGGACCAGCAGTTAGCGTAATGGCTATGTCGCTGAACTCCCATGTAGTCGACCATGGTTCGAGTCCCGGACCTGGTGGCTTAAACTCAAGCCGGGTGCATGTGCGTGCGTGCCCAAGATCCCAAGAGGAGAATGGAGGAGAAGGGATTGTGGCGTGGCCATCCTCCCTGGGGGGATGATTTCTCACTTTCTATCTCTCTTTCTCTCTCTGTCTTTCTGGCGAGCGCACGTGCCCTATAGCAAAAACCTCTCCAAAAAAAGAGCTATTTCTCTCTCTCTTTCAAATAGCTATTTATTTTTAAGTTTTTATTTATTCATTCATTTATTTTAATTTGACCTGAGAGAGACACAGACAGGAGAGAGAAAGTGAGAAAGCAAGCCACCAGGTCCAGGACCTGAACCATGGTGAGCCATGTGGGAGTTTCCAGCACCCTAACCACTATGCCACCTGCTGATCCCTCTCTCTTATTTTTTCTTTTTTTTTTTTTTAGAGAGAGGTATTTTTGCTATAGGATGTGTGCACTCACAGGAGAGACAGAGAAATCACGTTCTAGGGAGGATAGTCATGCCACAATCCCTTCTTCTCCATCCTCTTCTCAGGATCTTGGGCACACAGCACCTGTGCCTTGCATGAGTTTCAAGCTACTGGTCTAGGACTCGAACCATAGTTGGCCATGTGGGAGTCCAGTGACGTAACCACCACGTCATTTGCTAGCCCCAGCTATTTCTCTTTTACCACACCACCTTCTCAGACAGATCAGGAGAAGCCAAATACAAGGGTAGACTATCTCTTCTAGAGATTCTGAGTCTCTTGCAGAGGTATCTCAGAACACATCTGCCTCAAAGAACTGCAAAACAGGCAGCTCTGTCAGCAAGAGGGTACTTTTTTTTTTTTTTTTGGAGAGATTTTCACTGTAGGGCGCATGCGCTCGCCAGACAGACAGAGAGAGACATAGAGACAGAAAGCGAGAAATCACCCCCCAGGGGGGATGGTCACGCCACAATCCCTTCTCCTCCATTGTCCTCTCGGGATCTTGGGCATGCACGCACACGCACCCAGCGTGAGTTTTAAGCCACCGGGTCCGGGACACGAACCACGGTCGACTACGTGGGAGTCCAGCGACATAGCCATTACGCTAACTGCTGGTTCCCAGCAAGAGGGTCTTAAAGTACAAAGGCAGCTTCTGACTCCCCGCCTCACTCTCTGCACCCGCTCCCCAGCAAGGAAAGCTGACAGACACTTATCAGTCTGGATCTTTCTCCACTTAATTGCCAAATACTCTAGAGGGAAAAGGCAGTTGTCCAAACATCACCAAAAAGAGATTGCTTCAAGTCTGATTTGTAAAGCTGAGGCCACAGCTTGCACAACTGCACAATCACCCAGACAATTACAACTTTCCATTTTTGCGTACCTAATGATTGACTAAAGAGAAAGAAGAGAAAAATACATAAAACTGTAGGAAATATAAATTACTGAGACAGCAGTTGGCTTAATGGCTATGTCACTGGACTCCCATGTAGCCGACCTTGGTTCGAGTCCCAGACCCGGTGACTTAAACTCATACTGGGCACATGCGCACCCAAGATCCAGAAAAGAGAATGGAGGAGAAGGGATTACAGCGTGGCCATCCCCCCTGGAGAGTGATTTCTCACTTTCTGTCTCTCTTTCTCCCTCTTTCTGGTGAGTGCACATGCCCTATAGCAAAAACCTCTCAAAAAAAAAAAAAATCCTTAAATTATTAGGTGTACTCAAATAATAGCCAGCTACCATCGATAACAAAATAAAATAGTTTCTTGGCAGAGGCTATCATCTTAACAGATTAAGAACTCCAGCTCCAGGGATTCAGCCAGTGGTGTGATGGTTAAGGTGGCTGGATCTCACTAG